CAGCCTATTGACCAAAGAACTAAAACATCTTATGATAATATAATTAACAAATGACAATGGATCTACAATACAACAAAAATGACACATATATTTGTTTATTAATAACAGCTAATGATTATACAATAAAAGCACAGCCAATGATAGTATAGTAAAACTGATGATTATATACCAAAACAAACAAATACACATTTAATGATGAACAATCAGGAAAACAATTGTACAAATGCAAAAGGAGATCAATCATACAGCCGGAATGTTTTAATTTTGTATTTGTAAAATTAACCTGCAATTATAATAAACGATAGTTTGGAAATGGTCCATTTGATCCAATGTACAAAGATGAGTTCATTATTATGCTGAATATTACTGGCTTATAAAGATGTTGTATTTTCTCGTTGTAATCACAATGTAAGCGTTCAGAAGGCAGTCCCGTGGTGTAATACATGTAAAAGCCGTACAAACATTACACTGCACTAGTTTTGCATCATAGCTGATGCTTTGATGTTGTGATTTATGTGACAAAATGTGAAATTTACGTAAAAAATTGCAATTATTGGCAAGAAATAGTCGTCTAAGGCACATTGATATAACAAACAACACTAGCTAAATATCACCTATCAAACAAACTCAAGTTCAAGTTCAAGTTCTTTATTACTTTAAGTCGGTTGACTTATCATGTTATAACATATATACAGAACAATATGATACACACACACATGTACACACACACACACTTTGGAGAGTGAACACTAACCAGCAATCAGCTCAGATCTCCTTTTGTTTCGGTTTTGTTTTGCTGTTGCTTACTAGATTTCCTCTTTGAAATATTTCATATCAAATGTTTACGATAGAGTAAAAACAATTTTTCGATTTGATTTTTTAAATTATGTACTTAATTTGAAACGAAACACATTTTGCACAACAGCGAAAATACGGATTTCGTTCTAAACTCAGATCAATGTCATTTGAACGGTTTTTGTTGGAGAAAGAACAGATGAATAGACAATTAATTGGAGACAAAGTCAGTAAGCATCAATTTACTCTCGTTCTAATGACTATGGTACTTACGCTGTCGTGGCTCTAGTTTTCTTGATAGGGATCCTTCCAGGAACTGATAGGCGTCGATTTGAGTGCTTCCGGTGACAGAAATCAAATAGGATTCTTTTTGGATCGATTCTCCTAAATAGTTAATTGATCAATTAAGTTTCCGGTAAGTAATAAGAGACGGACAAGCGTCCGTATCGTACGGGTAAATCAATCGAATACTTGCATTACAAGGGTTCTGAACGTGTTTACATTGTATGTATCTACTGCCATACTGTAGGCCAATCTAGTGGATAGATGTACCCAGTTACTACTAGGACAAAGAAGGAGAAAAATCTCTTTCAGATATACCTGTACATGTACGTAATCTATTTAAATGAAGAAGTCCCAATAAAAACCTGACAAAGAACATGATAAGTTAGCTATAATTCTTTGACGAACGCTTCGTTCTACTTTTACTGTTTTAATGAAAATTCTTATGTCATACAAGTGCAACTGGTTATTGATAGCCATACAAATGATTCGTCTGTCAATAAACCATAGCTATCGCTCAATCCCATATAACGGTACATTTTGATAAAATACACAGGATTGGCAACAGCAGTTAGCTATATTTATGAAGTAAAATAAAGATTGAATATAAATAATGATCTTATTCATCGTCACTTAAAACACCAACAATTAGTACAAATAAGTATAAGTAATCTTATGCTATAGATTGATCCTGGTAGAACCGCTACCACTTCTATAACATATTATATGACAACATCGTTTGTATTAAAGCTGTAAAATATGGCGCATACAAAATGTACATGAAACACTGACAATTGAGTTTTTTTGTTTGATTCGTTAAGCAACATAAAGTGACATGCCAAAATCTATAATATTTTATTATATCTACAATTGTCTTGCAATTCGGTCCATATGTTTTGTAATGTGGTTTGGATATAAAATAAGAAAAAATAAACTGATTTTGAATTTGATGTTATTCGTCACGGGTACTACATCCCTTCATACCCGTTATGTTTCAATGCAGTGGTATAACACTACTAAAGTGATCCCACCATACTAAACGTAAAAGAGTATACTCACCGTTAAAGAATATACTTACCGTAAGAGTCATTCAGACTGTAAAGCATTATACTAACGGTAAAGCATTATACTTACCGTAAAGCATTATACTTACCGTAAAATATTATACTTAGCGTACAACGTTATACTTACCGTAAAACATTATACTTACCGTAAAACCTAATAATTACTGTAAAACATAATTCTTACCGTTAAATATCATTCTTACCGTAAAATGTTATACATTAACCGTAAAGCATTATACTTACCGTACAACATTATACTTACCGTAAAGCATTATACTTACCGTAAAGCATTATACTTACCGTAAAGCATTATACTTACCATACAACATTATACTTACCGTACAACATTATACTTACCGTAAAGCATTATACTTACTGTAAAGCATTATACTTACCGTACAACATTATACTTACCGTAAAGCATTATATTTACCGTAAAGCATTATACTTACCGTAAAAGATTATACTTACCGTAAAACATTATACTTACCGTAAAACATTTTACTTACTGTAAAGCATTATACTTACCGTAAAGCAATATACTTACCGTTAAGCATTATACTTACCGTAAAACATTATACTTACTGCGTACAACATTATACTTACCGTACAACATTATACTTATCGTAAAGCATTATACTTACCGTTAAGCATTATACTTACCGTAAAGCATTATACTTACAGTAAAGCATTATACTTACAGTAAAGCATCATACTTACCGTAAAGCATTATACTTACCGTAAAACCTAATAATTACTGTAAAACAACATAATACTGACAGTAAAACATAATACTGACAGGAAAACAAAATACTGACAGTAAAACATAATATTGACAGTAAAACAAAATACTCACAGTAAAATAAAATACTGACAGTAAAACAAAAAATATATATTTCTCGTGATAACGTTGACCTTGTTATTTTCGTGAAAACGTAGTACAGGTGTTCCCATTTACCCATTGCTCTTCAAATAGTAATTCTGGCTTCTCAAAAACTAAGTTTTAATTTGTTGTAACAACTTATGATTTTATCAGCAATCCACTCTCCTCCATTTTTAACTGGTACCATGTAAGCGATATACAAATATCAACTTCGCCACTAATTTCGTTGCTGTATCATTAAGTTGGTACATTATTTAATAGGTAGCAGAGTACAGTAGAAATGGCTTGATCCTAAAGATAAAGGGCATGTCTCAGATAAACATGGATAGCGGATTTATCCTGCACAACACACCTACATATATATATATATATTTACAAACTGCATTTTGAATTCATTTTTTAAGAAGATTTTTTTTTTCCAGAAAGTAATTATCCCAGATTTGGGAATTGTGAAAACCATGGTTACCACATCAAAAAACGCCGAAACAATGCATAAAAACATGTTTTTTAACCCAAAATATGACCCACGCAAGTAGTATTTTTTCTTCTTAAAACCTGTCTAAAATTGAATATCATCTACTCGGTAACAGAAATATTAACGTTTTAGCATAGGTCGTTCAACTGGATTTTTTTTTACAATATTTACACATGTGCTGAGTACAAAAATAGACTACATGAAAAGCTAGATTTTGTTGTGTAGACACAGATTTGTAAATGGCCAAAAATGTAGTCTCAAACCAAATTCGATTTTGTTTTGTTTTTAAATGTTCATCATGTATATGCCACTTTTAGTTCTGACTTGTTTTTTAAACTTTGATACGTGTAATATTACATGGGTTATTCACCCCACAAAAATATCACCCATGGCCACCGTACGCTACTGTACACTGCTACCATAGGCCAATGCCAAAACATGTTATTGGTTTTTACTCAATGTTCTACCTTTTCATTGCCTATTAAATACATTACATGGTCAAATTGCAATCAGAAGCAGTACGATAGAAGATCATTTGATCATGTCTTTCAAGGAGGTCAACGATTATCCTGAACATTTACAATTAATGCTTCTGAAACTGCATGACGTGGTGTGGCAGAAACCAATATCATTTGTTATGTAGTGTAACAGTTTTTATCGCAAGACTCAGATTACCACCAATACAAAGACGGCAATACGAGCGGCGTGCGGTTCTTAAGCTGTGCAGGCACTCACAAACGTATGAACTAATTCAGTGATTCAGTAAACACATTTGCCTTCGTGGTGACCTTGCTTGTGATTAAGCATTTACTCCTGATAGAGCTTTAACTAAGTTATAAAGCGTCCGTGAAAGAGCCATAACCTCATGATAAACTCTTAGATTTGTGATAGAGCCCTATATTCGTGATAAAATCTTAAATTAGTGATTACGCCTTAACTTCGTGATAAAGCCTCATCTTCGTGATCATGCCTAAGATTTATGACAGAGACTTAGTTTTATGATAGATCGTTAACTTCGTGAGTTAGGCATAATTTTGTGTAAGCGTTTACAATGGTACAGAGTACAATCTAGATCGACTTTGTTTCAAGTGTATCTAGCTTCACGCTTATTTAGGAGTCTTTGATAATCATCTCGCTCTTTTCTGGCTCTTAGGTATTCGTCATCTGTGTGTGAACTACAACTGTATAACTACAGTAAATAGTATCGAAATGAAATTGATGTATAAATACCGGCATTATAAGGTGTAGTATTAACAAGATTTATTTGGTGTTGTATTAACAAGACTTATTTCGCAAATAAGTTATACTTAAGCGTAGTATCTTTCTCGGGTTATTGCGACATTGTATATACATGGTATGGTATAAAAAGGTTTTTGTACATTTCGGAACACTTTCGGCAACGATTTCCATTCTACCACCTATGAGTCAGAAAGGACGAAATGACAAAATGTTGTAGCAATAATGTTTACTTTACTTGGCTTTCTGCATCAATTTAATAAATATATAGATATACGTGCTTACCTATTCCGTATGTGTAATGCTTATGTGTTTTGGGGTATAAATAAACATGCATGCAATGATTATTTATCTGATATTCTTATTCATTAACAATAACAGAAGTAAACTCTTCCCACAAAATACCAATACATTTTAATAGAAAAAAGATATTAATACAATACAATATTTTTCATAAAACTCTGAAACTGAAGATTTAGCTCCACCTATAAGTTCGGCACAGGTTCGATCCAAGTGCGTTTGTTTATCGCGGAATATTTCTGCGCGAAAAGCGAAAGCAGACTTTAGAAACAAGCAGGTATTGATAGTCAATGTATATTCCTTATGTACATAATTATTTAAATTTCCACATTGCATTAACCCGTGAATGTTACGTTTTGGTCCAGGGATAAGTAGTAATATATCGCAAACTTGACACGAACGGCTCCCTTTGATATATCATTGTAGATGATTTATTTGCACACAGCTTGTCATAGAAAATATTGATAATCCTAAAGTAAATACAATTCAATTTTAGGATTGGAGATCAAAACCCATGACTGTCCGATGAAAGTGGACTACACGAAATAACAAATGATACATATAACCATAATTACTGGCGGGGGTAATATATCCACCCAACAGCAGCATATACTACCCACGTATGGCTCTGAAAATGATCTTAATTACACATATCTTTCACACTAAATTTCATCAATCAGACGAACAGTCGATAGCGTTATGTTGTGGTTCTGAGTAGATTGATAATACGCACACTGAATTTATTGCATCTACTAATATGTTCAATGCAGTATACGGAATTCAGAGTTGTTTTATGTTCTGACGAGGAGTTAAAGTAAAATCCAATCACGCCTTTGGTATAGAAATGCTGATGACCTTGTAATTGACAATGCTTGTATTGTCCTTTCTTAAATCGTACTTCCCAGGTTAAGTGTTGAGTTAAACATACTTTGTAGCTCTGAGGATTAATGAGAAGTGTGAGTCCTTCCGGTTTTGCTGACGTCAATGCTGGCCCCACATGTTGGACACATAGGCTCTACAAGGGAAACAAGGTCAACATGTAGCACTGAAATAATAGGTGTCACGTAACGATAGATAGTTTCTCACTCCTTACGATCCGTTTAATGTTACATTAATCACACTTGATCAAAATGTTAGCCATGGTAAATGATTTCCAAACTCGATTTATAAAACAGTTCATAACGTCATGATAGCTAAACATTTAAGTTCAATACGTACATTTACGAAAGAGCTCTTAAAATATAAGCAAGTTGCTTCAGCGATAGATTCGATGTCAGAAACTAGACTTTCAATGGCAAAATTGTCATCATAATAAACGTCAATATAGCAGATGTTTCACTAGTGATTTACTTTAGTGAATAAACGCCAGACTCGTGTTTACGCTAATTTGGTAATGTCTCACTCGTGTATTTATTAAGTGTACATGTATGAACGCCTTATTCGTATATTTCTTTAGTGTATGGACGCCTTACTCGTGTATTTCTTTAGTGTATGAACGCCTTACTCATGTATTAATTAAGTGTATGGACGTTTTAATCGTGTATTTTTTTTAGTGTATGGACATGTTACTCGTGGATTTATTTAGTGTATGGACGTCTTACTCGTGTATGTATTTAGTGTATGGACGCCTTACTCGTGTATTTATTTAGTGTATGAACGCATTAGTCATGTATTAATTAAATGTATGGACGTCTTACTCGTGTATTTCTTTAGTGTATGGACATCTTACTCGTGTACTTACCAAGTGTATGGACGCCTTCTTCCTGTAATTCTTTAGTGTATGGACGCCTTTCTCGTTTATTTATTTAGTGTATGGACGTCTTACTCGTGTATTACGTTAGTTTATTGACGCCTTACTGGCGCTTTACGCTAGTTTATTTTCACTTTACTCGTGCATTTATTTAGTTTATTAGCGTCTTACTCATGTCTTTACTGGTGTCTTTTCATTAAATAACGAAGCCTTACAGGTGTTTCAGTTTCGCTATTTGGGTAATGGGGTGTTCCCTATGGTTTATACGCACCTTACGGTGTCTTACTATAGTTTATAAATATCTTGCTGTTTTTCTACATTTATTAATGAACAACCTACCTGTTAGTTTTTGAGCTAAAGTTTGTGGGCGCGTACTGATGTTTGAATTATTGTTTCTGAACGCCTTACATGTTTTGAACCTTTGTTTATGAACAACTTTATTGTGTTTGAGCTTTTGTTTACGAATGTCTTACTCGTATCTTTGACCGTCATAATGCTGATCCTGGATTTTGATCTCGTGAGATTGTCCCGTCCCTCCACGTGAGGAGTGGCTAAAATTGCCTCCCATGGAACCGAGTTCAGTTGGTCATGACGCCTCAGTCTGGGCTTGTTGGGTTCCACATTCTTATAAAACTGGAGCACATGTTTGGACAGCACCGTCATTACGTCACGTTTCTAGAAAACAAACAATAAGCAGGTGTCAAGGCCGTGTCGTAAAATCACCAGAGTCTGCTTCCACTTATGTCATAATCACGTACACATGTTATTCAACCATCGATGCATATTTATCTTAATAAAACCGATCAAAATACCGGTTGGTTACCTAATATGAATTTGACATTAAATTTTCGTCAATTTACACTTCATGACCCTCGATAAAAACAGGTTTATTAGTATCCTACCTTGACGAGTAATGCAATTGTCTTTTAACCCGAGTATATAGAATATGTCATGATTTCTATTTTTCATTAATAACTAGCCTACTGTGACAGACGACACTGGTACTAGATATAGAATAATGAAATTGTAGTCGACAAACGGAATGACACGTGCCATCATCATGTCTCTTTCCGGTTCTTCAACGTCCTTCCTGTATGGTAGGAAATGTGTGTTCTGCCGCTCAGAAAGCCTGCCTGTCTTTTCGAGTTTGAGAAATCCAGTATTATCACTGAAATGTTCCTGTTAATGGGAAAGTTATATACAACAGTACCCGTAAACCAGTAAACAGGATACAACACTACAGAATAGTGTTAATACACAAGAACAAAATGAACGCACTGTCAATTTGTAACGAAAATTACAACAACAACAACGTTAACAAGTAAAATTGAATCCTACATTTGGTGTTTGGTTGTGTGTTACTATTGATTAGACATAACAAAAAGCTTTACAAACTATTTATTATTTCATCTCTTTTTTATCACTTGATAATACGTTGTATATAGAAACATCTTATACGAAAATACAACCTTTTGTTAGATAAGGTACATGTAGGTATGTCACGAACCTTGTTGTATGTCTTTACAACTACATGTATACAACACTGAGTGAATGGTATGCACTAATTATAACCTTTGTAAAATGTGGACTAGAGAATTGTACCTTAACGTACTACGTGCACTGCTATATCAGACTACTTACCATGAGCGAGAAGTCTGCCGGACCGACCCCAACAAACACCACTGACAACGCTCTGTGACTCTTTTCTATTAGACGCTTCATCACATTGTTCATGTCATTGATGACTCCGTCCTAAAATCAAGGTTTAAAATAAGGATGTTGTTATCTCAATTACAACGTTTTTTGGTCGATATGTTGACACTTTTGGCTTCTACCCAGACGATCGGGGTCATATTATTTAAGTCTTCGTAGAATATTTAAGAAATATAGCGCTTTTCTCTTGACCACATACATTACATGTAAATTACCCAGGTTGAGCAGAAAATGGTCTAGGGTAAATGTTACAGCAAGGGTCTCTGCTGGCACATTGAAAAACAACAAAACAGAATATCAATACTCAAAACACAGGCAGGTTTTAACACATGTTCAGGTAAAGGGGTACAAGCAGATTGCAGGCGATTCAAAATCCTTCCATTGATTGGCGTACCATATTCATTGTACGTATCGTAAAGATTCTTACAATCGTGGCTAGATAATATGATATGACAATAAAACTAACTGTAGAAAGGACAGACATTGAAATGAGGATAACAAAAACATTTATCTATAACGTAAAATAGAATGAATTTGAACAAATAGGGACATAATCGGAACTCAAAGTAAATACAGAAAGGCCGGAACTACAAGGACCACAAGCAAAGGGAAGGACAAGAACTGAAGTTACAATGAATAAAAAAAAAAGACAGGACTGATTGCATAACAAACAAAAAGGCGAAGTGACACCAAACAAAATGAATCGAAGAGATACCATAAAAAACACGAACAGAGAAGGCAACAAACTAAATACCGAGATAACACCAAAACAAGAACAGAGAAGGCAACAAACTAAATACCGAGATAACACCAAAACAAGAACAGAGAAAGCAACAAACTAAATACTGAGATAACACCAAAACAAGGACAGAGAAGGCAACAAGCTAAATAACCGAGAGAACACCAAAACACGAACAGAGAAGGCAACAAGCTAAATAACCAAGAGAACACCAAAACACGAACAGAAAAGGCAACAAGCTAAATAACCGAGAGAACACCAAAACACGAACAGAGAAGGCAACAAGCTAAATAATCGAAATAACACCAAAACACGAACAGAGAAGGCAACAAGCTAAATAACCGAGAAAACACCAAAACACGAACAGAGAAGGCAACAAGCTTAATAACCGAGATATCACCAAAACACGAACAGAGAAGGCAACAAGCTAAATAACCGAGACAACACCAAAACACGAACAGAGAAGGCAACAAGCTAAATAATCGAGATAACACCAAAACACGAACAGAGAAGGCAACAAGCTAAATAACCGAGACAACACCAAAACACGAACAGAGAAGGAAACAAGCTAAATAACCGAGAGAACACCAAAACACGAACAGAGAAGGCAACAAACTAAATACCGAGATAACATCAAAACAAGAGCAAAGACAAGAACCGAGGAGACACCGAACGAAAGGAAGAACAAAAACAGATGTGATACCAAACTGCAGGAACCGAGATGGTACCGAATACTAGGTAACATAATCACCAATGAGACATCAAACAAAACTTAAGACAAACCAACAGAAGAGACCAAACAAATGTAAGGACGCAAACCGAGGAGATACTAACGAAATAGAAGGACAGACACGAGGTGACACCAAACAAAAGGAGAAACAAACTGAAAGTCAGTGACAGCAACCAAAAGGAAATAAACCTGCCTGTTTCCTCCGTTGAAGACACATCAACACTTACCGTTATAACCAGTAGTACGGTATAGACCTGGTGCTCCTTAGACGTGTTCTGACTCTCCTCTAGAGCAACCGCTCTGTCTATGATAGGGGCCAGCATAGTCGGCCCAGAGAACGTCAGAACTGGGAGGATTTCCTTGTACTTTTGGATCACGTCCTGTGCCGTTCACAACAATGCATTAATGAAAATATAGGCACTATAAATATGTTCATGCTTTACATTTTTTTTAACGTACACAAACATGCACAAACATTCATATAGCATATTAAAATTTGTTTGAGCAAAATGCGGAAAGTATTTATTTTTTACAATATTTTCTTTCAATATTTAAACGTAAATTATACCCGAAAAATGTTAAAAGTGTGTTTAGCACTCAATTATCGTGTCCGATTTATGTAATTATATCGATAATAAATGAAGAAAATGTATTTTTTAATGAAGCAATAAATTGCAGGACATACTTTTTCTCCAAACATGCTTTGTCGTTTTTCGCACCAAGTCAATCTTTATACTATTATATAACAATGGTATATTGTGGATAGTGACGGTCTCATTCTTAAGTTAACGTCTATTTGAGGAAAATAAACCCAGTTACCCTACGATGTTGCTTTCTGATGTAGTTATAGCCAACGGATAATGGAAACGTGCATTTTGTTCACAGTGATTTGGTTATGACGTCTTATTTAATACCTCAATGTCTCGCATGTATGGAGCCGTCTTGTCACCAGAGAGCGGGAAACAGTGTGACGGATACTCTTTGTCATTCCATTTGGCGCCAAAGCCGTACAAAGCCAACTTCCTATCGAAATTGAAGTCGGAAATCACCCTACCGATCGTCTCTAGGGTGTGGAGATACGGGTTCGCCTAGGATAAAAGACAGTCATCGCATTACGTAATGTGTAACAACATCAGACGGGTTACTTCATCCAAAAAAGGACTACTCTAACAAGAATGAGATTTCTCTATGATACTTTATATAGAGACGTTTTACTCACAGTGCATATGACCATTTACCTGTAATTTATCAACACCTACATAAACCGTCAGTTTAAACAATATCATATTCCCTTAATCTAATTTGTTAAAAATAGCTACAAGTACTGTGTCAATGCTTGCAACAGACGAAATTCGGGACATGGGTTCTTTTATAAATTGGAAAGGTTATATCCTCTCTAGACCAATACATTGTTCATTTAACAAAATAATCAAACATCCTGACACACTTAAACAAAATAACCAAACATCCTGACACACTTACACAAAATAATATAATATGAAAAGCGTCTTCATGCACTACTTGTCCTTCAATAATCTAAGTAAGCTTTTACAGATTAAAAGAAAAACGAATTGTAAATAAAGTCACGTCAATTATTTTTCATCTGATCATAATCGAATACAACGAATAGACATAGTGTCCTAAAGACTTGCTATTATGATACAGTAATGGCGTGATTATGGACATGAAAAATTGCTATGACAGCAGTAAACTTATTTTTTTTTAAACAAGTCAATTTACAATATAATGACAATTATTCTTCATTCCCAAAAAAGCATTTGGTGTGCCACAACAAATTAACAGAATGAAAAGTAAAACATTTATCAATTAATTACAAACCATATTACTGTCTGAATAAAGTGTCTCGACTGTCGTGGCCATGTTAACAGCATCCTAATTTACAATCAAAATGATGTCAGTGGACATTGTGGCAATGATAGATTGGTTATTTGTGCTGTAATCATACATAGACGAAGCCAATAAAATACCGATTGAGAATCTTACGTCCAGATCCCGGATGTTATGGAGAGAGTGGATATCGTTAAGACTTCCATTAGAGGCCTGCAAAATAGGAAAACAAACTCGTTCAGATCCGACTTCACCATTTTCATCTAAATAGGAAATTACAACAATTATGCTAGTCTCAACAAGTGCATGAGGCGGAGCAGTTATCGGATAAATTAGTCTAATTTCGTTAGTTAGAACAGGAAACTGTTTCTACATGATGGACTTGTCCCGCCTGAGGCTATGTACTGCCAATGTTACATGGTGATCAGATTTGGTCTCTAATTAAATGTTGGTCACGACAGAGCTCATCGCTACAGCTAGATCCAACGTGACGGCACACATCATTCGGTCATTGCTATTTAATACTAAAATAGGAGATTGTTTTCAAAATTTCAAATGACACTTTTGAACGAATATTTGCAAGACCATCGATATGCACGCTACTTATAGAAACTAATAAGATTCACTGTGTAAATAAGAGAGATGTTTGATTAAACTTACTTACAAGATTTCCATTGACATTTTAGCTGGTCGGCTGAGTTCGTTTGAGTGTCTAAATTTTTTGTTATATTTTAGTTTCACGAGATGCATTCTACATAGATGTATTAACTTTTTTCAGCTGAAGTTTTAAATAAGGTTGCTGATGGACAGTTAAGCAAATCAGGACATTCGAAATATAGCAGTCCTATATAATATAACATTAACTTCAACGACAGTAATCACAATGTAATTTACCAATAAACCAGAAATCGATAAGAGCTTCGAAGTGAAAGAAATAATAAAGCTACCATATAGATTTTGAAATAAGGTTATAATATTACTTACTATGAGCACAATTGTTACGAACATGTACTTGAAAGAAGATATATATTATATAGTTTTGATTGGGCATAGCATGTATGACACTTATTTCACAGTGATATAACGAATTAAGCTGACCGTGAAGTCTATGGCGATCATAAGGTTCAGGTGTAGTCCCCCACGGAGGTAGTCGATCAGGGAGTGCTGTCTGTCAACCCTACAACAAAAGTGAAACAATCTATGAGAATGTTTGTTAACTTTACAATAAAAGTAACAAGTAGACCAGGATGTGTTACCTTTTAACTCTACAATAAATTTAATACAATAAAAGTAACAAATGAAGGATAAACACAAACCAAATAACAGTGCCCTGCGGCTCAGTTTCGGTTTGAAAGCAACGAAACATTGTATTTGTATAATTTATGCTTGATATGTTAACTTCTCTAATAAATGGCTGACACGTTTGATAAATGTATAAAGTTAATTATACATTATACATTGATAAGGATCTATGTATCAATCATACAGTACCTGAACTTTATGATGCGGAGGTCCCACTTGTGTTTGCTCTGGTCTTTGGGATTCTTTAGTGGGAGGTTAATGAAGCTGTCCGTCTTCGCTCTTTGTCGACATGATAACAATACAAGGTCGAGATGACAGAGAAAAAGGACAGTGTGATCAATTAATTGAATGATCATTCAAGAATAGTAACAAGAGTGTTTTTCTTCAAACAAGTCTCCAAAATAGGAATAAATTAGCAAAGGGCTACGCCTTTCAATAAAATTGTTTTTTCACACCTGTTTCGGCCTGTTAATGACCATTGTAAGGATAAACTTACGACACACACCTGTTTGGGCCTGTAAATGACCATTGTAAGGATGAACTTACGACACACATGTGTGATGGCACTATACAATTTGGTGATACATGCATTCCGTAAAATACCACTCGGAATTAAACATTATGTATTAACGCATCAACCCCTACAGTAGGCAAGAAAGCAGTGTGGGCACCACAACTATCAAATTACATTTTGTATCTAAATCTGATTATGAAAGTTTAGGAATGCTGCATGTTTGAAAGAAGAAATAAGTTTATTGTATCTATCCAGTTGGATGATTGTACGAGGCGACCAATGTGGGATCCAGCAGACTCGGGCGATCTGATGAAGGGACATTGAATATAACAAAATTTGTTCCACAATAACAACACTTGAGGTATTATTGTGTTCGATTATATACAGATCTCCTATAAATGGTGTCTATTTTGACCCCAATCAGCATAACATTGTACATTTGGGAGACGACAGTAAACCCAGAATCAGACAAAGTCTACAATAAACTTACGTATCCTTGTTATGAAGCTCCGCCAACGTAGTAGGTACTTGGCCGATCAGCTCAAACTTCTGTGAGCTGTAAGGGAAAGCAGTTCTAAACATTTCACCGACATTACTGTCCATTGCACCAACTGCTAAGCTATATTTAAATTGTTTTGTGGTTAAAATAAAATTCCCGGATTGCTTTAAATTGTTTTAAAATACTCTCAGTCGCTTGTAAGACATATTATGGTACATACAGATTTATCACAAAACAAGAGGCCCAATGGGCCCAACTTGTAATCTTAAAAGTGGACTAAAATACAGCTACAGGCAGAATATAAGTGTTTGATTCATAAGAACCTATTAAAATATTTAAACATATGACGCCTGTGACCTTTAATGTCGAACAAGGACATTAGGTTGAACAGAGTTATAGTCTTCCAACAAAGCATGTTTTTGACAAAATATTTTAAAGTCATTTAAAGATTTAAACATATAATGACCAATGTGACCTTGAATATGGGCGAAGGTCATTCATTTTAACAAACTTGGTAGCCCTTCGTCCCAGCATGCTACTTGCCAAATATCATTACCCTAGGCCTTTTGGTTATTCAGAAGAAGTTGTTTAAATGTTTTAAACATATTTTACCCCTGTGACCTTGAATATAGGTCAAGGTCATTCAATTGAGCAAACTTGGTAGCCCTTGATTCCAGCATGCTACTGGCCAAATATCATCACCCTAAGCCTTTTGATTACTGAAAAGAAGTTGTTTAAAGTAAAAGGTTGACGCCGGACAGACGGATGACGGACGGACGGACGGACGACGGACGCTGTACCATGGCAGATGCTCACTTGCTCTTTGGGCAGATGAGCTTAAATTCACCGATCGAACGTGATCATTTCTATCTATCACAGATACTTTAAATTTTACTGAGGCACCACTCTGAGACAGACGTCAATACACGGGCCAATAGGGGTATATACTCAATGGGTGAGACACATGGCACACGTCTAGCACTTGGTGAAGCTGAAACAAACTTTCATTAATTAAAATTTTCTACATTACATTTCGTATATCTTGTATGTAGGCTTCAAATGTATATGAGTTTTTTTTATAAGGGGCATATTATATTGAACGAATACATAATGATCATGTCTTAAATAAGACTACCATTAAACAATGGAACGCGTGCATGCTATCTATATGTAACATTAGCCTATGGATCTCTTAGCTATAACAGAGATGCCCGTCGCATGCCAATGAACAGAGTAAAAAGCATCTGCATACTATAACTCACCAACAGTATATTAATACAATATCACCTTGCATGGAGCACAATATATCCTGCCTAAATAATAATGTATTACATGTACTTCTAACTGACTAAAAATGTATTTCTTGTCTGTATATGACTAAATTTAATCAAATATCGCGTAGCAGAGATATTGTTTACTTGTATACAACAAAAATGTACAACATCACTAAAAAGCCGGATTATAACGATACACTTGCCTGTCTAGTTCCTCATTTCATGAAATCCACTTTCAGGGGTATCATTACCACATTACATATAATAGCCGTTCGACATAGTAGTTAATTGCCCACATATATGCATTACCACACTATGAAAAAGCTTGATTATATTGGTATTAAATACAGTTTACGCCTATAAATTACCACATTACATAAACAGGATTACACAGATATTGCTTACTTTCAAATTTACTTGAATCATGTTTTACCAGAAGTCGGACTATAGGCCTATATCTTGCCTTAATATTACAACAGTTTAAGTCAAATAACGAAGATATCAATTTTCGCTTTCACCCCCGCTTATTTTTAGTATTTTAAGCATTGTTATCATGCTCTTTTTGTTGATCAAAAATGACTACATTACATACACACAGACATAAGATATAATAGATATAATATGTATATGATATAATATATATATTATATTTGTATTTGTTATATACAAATAATATCCTAGTGTGTTCCTCTAAGACAAACAACACCATGCGGGTTTTTTTGTGTGGTAAAGGACAGATTTACTTATAAATGAAAGGGTATTATAACGTATCCTGGCTCGACCTGCCAGCACACTTTATTACAAACATATACTCGACTGAATCGTGTAAACAGTGTTAGCTATATGATAACGATATAATCAGAAAATGAAAGATCGGCAATTTTTAATGCTTATGCTTGTTAGGGCATCATGGTAAGTATGTATGCACAGCGGGTTTTATGACAGATATATATGTACCCGATTTGCGTTCATAGCGGCATGAACATTGAATTTTATCTTATATTTGAATGCCCACTCTATAACAACATTAGAATGCAATTAGTAATACAAATTTCTCAATTTGGTATAACTGATAATCATGATAATTTTAATCTACAAACTCTATTAAATGACTGCTTAATATGCAGCACTGATATCAACATATCCATTTTACAAAGTATATCTGACTATATTTGTCAAACTAATAGACTTGATATTAAATCTCACTCACAGCTAAACTCTACATTGAAAGTGATGCTATTATTTATAGTGTCATGATCACTCTGCTTATAAGTATTGATACTGGAGTATGTCTATCTTCACAACATCTCTGGTATTCGGCTGGACTGGATGGAATTTATGAGTGTACTATTTTATTACTTGTTCTATCTATTTCATAGTTACATGAATATTCTATAGTGCTTTGTTAAATAAATTTTAAGAGAATCAACTCCAATAATAGATAATAATAACTGCATTTTCCTATATGAATCCATATCATATTCTGAAATTTTACAAAATGTTTATTTCTTGGTAACTTATCCTATATATCCAGTGGGTGGATGGCCAATGTATTTATACACAGGGACTTTTGAGCCTGTATCCCTTGGATTTTATGTAGGATGGGTTGTAAACAAAAATACATGATTTATTTAATTGTTAATATCCAAAACATAAACAGAAAATAATTGAATAAAAGTTGAAAAAAAATCATTTCACAAGCTAAATTGGAGTTATTTCCCCTGCACTGTTCAATTGGATTGTTATGACAGAATATATATGTAATGTTTGTAAATTGAAATTAAACATTGAAAAATGCCGCTAAGGCCTTATATATATTTTCTTTTCATAGTTTTTTTATTGATCTTAATATCTCTTTTCTCTTTTCGTCAGTGCAAACGAGATACCTAGTCTCGTTCAACCAGACTCTTGTTGCCTGCGCAAGCTAAGCCGAATCTTGAATTACAAGTGATCAAGCGTCTGGTTGACCGAGACTAATTTTATAACGAGATACCCGGAAAAGCCTAACGTCACCAAAGTGTTCGCTTCTAACAGTTGTTTCATGTTATTCGAGGCGGGAGAAGAAGCTTTAAAATGACGCTGATCAAAATGCAAAATACACTTACTTATGTACTTACATAATATAATACATGCTTACGATTTAAATATTAATACACATCACTTATACATGTGCATATAACTATCTTCAAATTATAAATGTAAACAATATATATTTACGAAGGCAGCACATAATTAACATTCGCAGAATATGAAAAGGCAAAGCCTTAAAAAAGCGTAGCTCTTGTTGATCTCTGATATTTACTGATTCAGAATACAACTTTCCGAATGAGATAAGATACACTTTATTTAAAGTCGGCTAGTCAAGGAGTAACAATAGAACACAAGCTCTAATGAGATTAAGACCGACATAACAATAGGGAGACCGGGGTAAGTTCGGCCTTCTTTTTTAAGTCCGTTCTAGGAAGTATGGCAGCACGTCCGTTTTTGAACATCATTTAACTTTCCCTGTCGGAAGATCGGTTGGCCGGAAGAGCCCCGCCATGGGGTAAGTTCGGACAGGCATTCGGGTAAGTTCGGCCCATTGAAATCAGCTTAATTATGACGTCATAAAGCATGCAACGTCAGATTTTACCGCCAATTTACGACTTTTTATGTGTTAATTACATGGGCCGACCTTGCCACAGTATTATTATCCGAACCTGTCCGGGCCCAAATTGATATTTCAATAAATTCTTATCGTACAGCAAAATGGTAGTGAGTGATTGGCTTGGCTTTTATGTATATCATTTGAAGCTGTCAGTGTGTTACTGTAAAAAAGTAGCAATTCCTTTTCAATGTGCATATTACATATTTGACGATTAGTCTAAGTAAATGTATAGAGATCTTAGCTAAAAAACTAAAGTTAAAAAAAGAAAACATTGTAATACTTTGATGTAACTGAAATTGTCTTTATATCGATATGTAGTCTCAATTACTGTTTCATCCTGCAACACCGGATTGAATTTCAAATTTTGTAACTGTCACCGAGGTTTGACAGGATATGATGCCAAACAAAATTACAGTGTCTGTCTATAGCTAGTTATACATCGGCACGTGTTGTGAAAAAGTGATGCGTTGCTGAAAAAGGGCGTTGCACTTGGGTTGGTTGTCTGGAAAATTATTGCTTATTTCGTCATAAATGCATTTTCAATTGCTTCTTTTATGAGTGGTGATGCATAAATAATGTAAAGACTATATCCAGACTTTCAAAAATGTTAATTATTTGAGTTCATATTCTCAACATATCGAAATCAAAAGTTAATGAAATTTTAAATGATCTCTTTTTGAAGATATCCCCGGGTAGAAATGACAAAAAAGATCTTCAAAAAATATCCGCATTTTTACGTTTTGTGCCTATAGAAAAAAAAGTCTTGAAGCACATCAGTTCCAGAATTTTCCGTTTATTTTTCATCCTTCAGGATATAACCGATGAAGGCCGATGGATTTTGACGTGCTTGTGACGTCATACATGGTATGATAAATCTCTGAACGAAGTTTCATGCCTGTTAGTATCACATTTTATGTGGAAGACTTTTTTCACTCAGAATGTGTATTAGTTTTTATCTAAATAAACAAGTAATAAAACATAGGTATTGTTTTCACTATATGAAGATATTCATGTATGGGTTGATATACTTCATGTTTCCCCATTGGACGTCTACTTCCGGACGATTTTTTTAAAATGCAACGGGTAGAGAGGGGAAGCAACTCTGTTTACGCACGAATGTGTTACCATTAAAGAGCTTCGCTCCGGCGCCTTTGGCGCCCGAGAGCTACGCTCTTATAAATACATCTCCTTTGATCAAAACGATGGGTTATGAAGTGTATACTGCTGTAGTTATGGTAGCCGGCAAGCACGCAGGACTAGCTATGAGATATAGCAGTAATATAGCTGAGTACGACTTACGCTCCTTCCTGATAAACTACTCTGTATCAATAAAAACCGATAAACTAATTATAACATGAATCAAATAAGCATATACCAAGAAATATAATCAAATTAGGACATAAATATAGCATCAGCTGGCACTCCTGAAATAAATCGTTCTTTGTATTAAGAAGCGAATCTCAATGGAAAAATAAACATAACTTTTAGAGAACATTCCTTCCTTTTTTTTGCACATTTAACACAAGCAAACGATAGATGAGATATAGCATGTTTACTATACACGTTTCTATGAGTATCAATGACGTTCCTAACTTGTAAAGTTTCTCATATTTTCTAACTTGTAACTTTGTTTTTCAAGTTTTGATATACAGTAATAATTCTTGGCATTTTCTGTCACAATTTCACTTTCATAATCTACTTCATTCATGAAAATATCTAGTCATTTGGAACTCATATATCGAGTTAAAAAACCGATTTATACCTCTGACTTTGGTACACTACCATTATCACTACAGACGTGGTGTGGGTGACGATCTACCCTTCAGTTTTCATCAAGATATTAGTTATTATTCTGGTAGGACTTTGTTGGAATTACATCGAGAGCTACCATGCACATCTAAAACAATAGGGTTCCCCTTCAATAGAAAGGATAACACTAACAAAGGTGTCGTAGGGTTGTACGATGTCCGATATGGCCCGTCAGAAATGTATCATGACCTTATGTAAATCTGCTCGGCAGTTTTCTCAGAGAACAGTATGTCCGGCAGAAATGTATCATGGCTTTATATAAATCTGCTCGGCAGTTTTCTCAGAGAAAAATATGTCTGGCAGAAATGTATTTTGACTTGATATAAATCTGCCCGGCAGTTTTCTCAGAGAAAAATATGTCCGGCAGAAACGTAACATGACTTGATATAATTCTGTCCGGCAGTTTTCTCAGAGAAAAATATGTCCGGCAGAAACGTATCATGACTTGATATAAATCTGTCCGGCAGTTTTCTCAGGGAAAAATATGTCCGGCTGAAACGTATCTTGACTTGACATAAATCTGATACGTTTCTGCCGGACATATTTTTCTCTGAGAAAATTGCCGGGCAGATTTATATCAAGTCATGATACGTTTCTGCCGGCCCATATCGGCCATCGTAGGGTTGAGGGGTAGCTGCGTGGTCCGATAACAATAAAAAAAACTTTTTTTTTTAGAAAGATCGGGCCTAGAAGGTACGGTTCCCGCAGTTAGGCTAAGTGGGTGATGGCTTGTTAATTGTGACGTTCTCTCAGTGCGTGTTGATGCCATGCAGTACATAAATAAACCTTTTATGCTTACTGTAATAATCGTTTTTTAACATGCACATCTATGTAAGAACGATTTCAGCAAGAATACCTATATGCAATATGTATCACAGGTGAATTAATGGGGAAATAGGCATCCCAGAGTGTAATGTTATTCTCGTGAAGTTATATCAAAATAATCCCATTCCTGAAACATTATACACAATGCAGTGAAAGAACCAACAGCACGAGATAACTTGGTGAAACCCGGAAAAATACATCAATGTCATACATGTATGTAACAACGTTACGGTGAATCTTAAAGGTGAACTCGTGAAATGTGTGTGCTAGATTTACTTTGTCGGCTTTACTACAGTAACTATATGAATGATGTACATGTAACTGTCTCAAAATTAAATACAAGGGCATATTATTTTCTATCAATTCAAGTTAAACAATATGCCCAAAAGTAGTCTTAACGGTACATCAAGATAATAACGTCAAACAAGGTCACACGGTAATATTTACATTCTGTATGCTTAGACCCATTGACAAAAATTACATTCATAAATGCATAACACAGGTGTTCATAGAATCTCAGCACGTGGGAACTGATAGTAACCTGATCACACTGCGTAATAATACACTACAAAAACAACTCACTCGGAACGACCGACCTAGATGCTTAATTCTTACATCTTAAAATATTATTGAACTGTGCTTTGTGAAATATCCACGTATTCACGTGTCCTGTGCTACAAATAAACATTGAATATGGAACTACATTTTGTTGTGTTATTGTTGTTGACGGTTGCTAAGATCTCTCACGATAGTGTCACATTTCCCCGCGAAAAAACACTGTTCTCGCCACTGCGTTGCACCCGTGTATAAGCAGGAACAAACCCTGTTTATTTGTTTTATTCGTTGTTATATCGATCCACTGAAAGGATTCGTCAATGTAAATATAAGGAATGATATTTATTTTTTCAACATTTATGAGGTCATAACAACAATGGGTTTTTGGACATATTTTACATGAATCGCTAACGCGATTCATTCAATATGTCCATAAACCCATTGTTGTTATGACCTCATAAATGTTGAAAAAATAAAAATCATTCCTTAA